TATTGGGAATGCAGATTAAGCCAATAATATTAGAAAAAGTTAAAAAAAAAGTATTTTCATATTTGTAAACTTTCAACTAAATTATTTATTTCTTACACTTCTTGTTTTTGATAAAGTATTTATGAGAATGACTACTCTAGTTATTAATTCATACTCATGTTATATTGCTTAACAATTAAGATAAAAGCAACAGCATGTCGTATCCAAATATGTAATGAAATAAGACGTGTTCTCATCAACCTTACTCCGATCTTAAATACTGGCTTTTAAGCTTAATTAATGCTTTAATGGGTTATCATATACTCAAATATTCGCTATGTTATGGAACAATAGCATTTGTGTGATTTAATTAAAAGTAGGTACTTGTATTAACAAATGAGAAACAGGTGCTATTATTAATATATTCAGCACACCTACTGAAAATGGTGCAGGTAAGTACACAAATAAATATAACTATTTATGTAGTTAATAAAATAAATTTATGCAATTTATATTTTCCATTGCAAAATATTAATAAAACTATTCCTAATATATAGTAATATTATACCTCTAAGAAGAATATTATATCTGACATTTGCCATAACTCTATCAAGCTATAGTTTTCTGATGACGTTGATTGGATTAATAATTATTTTATATAATTTAACTGATGTATTGACGGCAATTTAAGGGATATGAATTTCCATTTGTCTTATATTGATTCAATCTATGCAGACAATACTCAATTATCTTACATAAATAATATTTCTATGACTAGAAACTTTAAGTTATGAGCCTGGAGATTGTGCCGAAACGTGATAAGCGACTTGCGGTTTATTCACTAATTGAAACGAACTAAGTTACGTTTGTCATTGTTCCTTTTGTTTGTCATAGCTTTACTCTATTCATTGCCAGAGTTTCCGTTATCCAAAGCCGTAATACTATAAATTGTACCAACAAATAGGTGAGGGTGTGCATTCAGTTTTAGGTAAAGAAACGTGATATTCCTTTTCTTTGGTACATTTTATAGGTTTTATTTAATTTGTGACTCAATGTATTAATGAAACAAAGCCATATGAATTTACAAATTAATGACATATTCATGATATTGTAGATTTTAAGAATTAATAAATCGAGACAATTAGAATTTTAGTTCCAATATAATAATATGTCTTGAGTCTATGACCTACTTCATATATCATTTAACACCTAAGCCATATTTCGCAGAAAAGTCAGTCCGAATATTATTTATAGACTGGTATTTTAAATTCACAATCCAAGTAAACAAACTTCGGGCATGTTACAATAAATCAGAATATGAACTGGAAACTTGGCTCACTTCTACAGTATCTATGACTATTAAATAATCAGTTATTCAAAATCTAGCCATCCCTTGTTATCATTTAAACATAGCGTTATGTATTATTTTTTAATTTTATTTATTCAGAGTTACGGAGATGTCAAAGTAATGAAAATAAGTAACGCTTGGAAAGGATAATAGTATTATTATATTCAATTTAGTATAAAGAACTTGCATCTCACTTTACAGGAATGCAGTGACTTGCATTGACCCCAACCACAACATGGGCAGCATCATGAATGAGTTCTCATTGTCCGAAGGATGTGGTATATCGACGCTACCGTGGCAGATTGCCCTTGTCAGTGCTGTGACCACGTAAACAATTTCAATATTATAATATTAATTCGTATGTATGCTAGTCTAAGATATTTACAATATAGTATATATATATATATATATATATATATATATATATATATATATATATATATATATATATATATATATATATATATAGTAGCCTAAAATAAATAAAAATGAAAGAGTTGAGTAAATCCAAATAATAGAAACGGAATGTAACAATATTTTATTTACTTGTTTCGAAGGTTTAACCGAGGTCGGTGGCGATTTTAATTAAAAACCGAGTTGATTGGGAGTCGATAGCTTTTATCCGACTGCAAATATTGGTGAACACGTTTAATCAATCGCCGCGTATAATGATTTAAGAGTATTTCCATACATCTTTCCTATGATTATATACATACATATTTCCTATATATATTTAATGGTCTCGGTGGTCTAGCGGTTAGCTCACCGCTTTACTTACGATGGCCGCGGGTTCATTTTCGAAGTTCGATACAAACGATTGTACTCAGGAGTAGGATTTTTTGTACCGGTCTGGGTGTTTTCTATGTATAATATGTGTGTATTTAGGAAAAAAATATACAGCTATTTATTTTTATCAGTTAACTAGTATACCTAAAACACAAGCTTTAGGTAGCTTAACTTGGGTCTAGATGGCACTGTGTGAATTGTCCTGAGATTATTGTTGGTATATATTCATAGAAAAATATTGATAGATACAGTAAATAATACCTAAAGTTAAATCATGTAATGGAAATATTGAAGTATCTTATAGTTGATTATTCATAAATAGAATAGAATTAATTCTGCCTACTAAATGTTGTGTTGCGTATAAACACCTATTCAGCTTATTGTAATAAGTACATAAATATATTAAATAAAAAAAAATAGTTCTTCACAAAATTTATCTCATGAGCACAGATAACATAATATTACATAGTAAGGCTTTATTCATGAGAATTAGAAAAAAAATCTACTACAGTTTATTCTGCGAAATTCAGTATTTATTTTGACTAACGGATTTTTTCCTTTAAGCCTATTATCATATTTGTTAATATACTTCCAACTTTGAGTCATAATATTAAGAATCTTATAGATTTTTTGGTGATATCTACTAAAGTCACATACTAATATACATATAAATGTATATTAAAACTGTTACTCTTTATAATAATTAGTCACAAGTTTCTCTGTCCAGTTCTCTTTTTCTGTTGGACGTTGATATTAACTCTATAATAGTAGGACTATTATACGAGATTCGCAATTCAAAAGAAGAACTGTATAATTGAACATAATAATTTTAGCTTTGTTATACGTCCGTGGTTACATACAGCTATTTAGTGTGAATAGAACGATTATGTTCTGTAAGAAGAATTGCAGTTAATCACATCATCAGTAAGTGAAACATGGTATCATTATATTTAATTAAGACAGGAATATTACCTTTAATAAGTGGATACATAGTTGTTGTTATTATCGTGTATGAAGTAAATATTTAATACATACCTTGTTGTTTGAGTCAATCCTGTTGAAATAATTAGAAATAAGAAGGTTTACAGAGCTGGCTGCTAGCGTTTCAAATAAAGCAGTATATTTCCGTACAATTAGTTTGGAAAAAAGTTGCTGTATAAATATGAGAAAGCATATACTATATTAATACAAGCATTTCGTAAGAATATCGAGAAAAATCTACCTACAACGTGAAATCGATAGAGCAGGGTTCCCCAGTACCTAAACATATTCTGATAAGACTTCTTTACTCGTATATAAGAGTATGAGATATATGGGTAGGATAGTGTAGGTTGTACCATTTTCTTTTTATGAAATCTAAATAGAGTAAAATAAACTATAGTGTGATCGACATCGTATAAATCGACACAAAATACTTAAACATTTTCAGATTAGGATAAACTATCATCTCGTACGTTATGTTATCGTCACATGCTAATAACAGTGAAGATGTATAATAACAGTATTTATTAATTAAAAGAAAAGTAAGGTAACAGTCCGACATAACTTGCCTATATAATTAGGTGTCCAGACATATTCTCGTTGCGGTTTCTGAATTGAAAAAGTTACCGAACTGGAAAATTAACTGTTTATGCCTTCTAAGCAGCCTTGTATACCCTATTAGGGATAAATTATGCTATAATAATTTACACTCTCACTTTTAAAAGTTTACACTGTTCAGTAACATAAAAAAAATAATTTCACAAATGTTTCATTTGGCATAATTTTAAACATATTTATCATTAATCCATCTGGAAGTAAAAACGTTTTAACTTCCAGATGGACTTCCTACATATGTTTATTATTATTTAGTAGCTACTCGCCCCGGCTTCACACAGGTGTACATGTATTATATATATAAACCTTCCTCTTTAACCAACTTTATACTATGTAATAATGATGATGATGATTTTATTATTTGCTTAAAAAATATTTTATTAAAAATAAATTATGAAATCATAATTTCACAATATTGGAAATCATTCAGTTCAGTTACGGGCACTACATTTTAAATCATCTGAAATGTTTGGAATATGGAACTATGTCTTAGCCATTTAATTAATTTCAACTATTATAGTTTATTTTTCCCCAGACGTTGACGTCGTTACTCAAGGCTCACTGTGATAACTAGATATTTATGAGACAGCTGTGGAAATGATTAGTAATAAAATTCTTGTCCTGTATCCGGACGAAAAAATTAAAGTACTATAATTTATTAATAATTGTATAAAATATAAAAGACACGTCCGAGAATCCTGATCAGAATTAGATTACATGAACTCTCCTAGGAATAGAGCGACAATGAAATTCTCTAAGTAAAGTGTAAGTTTTCCTACTTATTTCATTAAAACTATAACGCTTTTAATTATCTACCATAAGATTTTATGTTCGACTATTATAAACATATCTTTGGCGCAATGCATAGTTTAAACAACATATTTAAATGCACATTTACATAAATAATATTATTGTCTTCAAAATGTATACACTCGTATTATCGGTTTTACCTTTAGGCCAATTTCATTTGACGGTGTAACCCGTTTGGTAGCGATAAAATATTCATTTGACTGACGATTGGGTCTCCTGCGTAATAAAAAATAAAAACGGTTTGCACACATAGATGTACGTACGTATAATAATATATATGTATGTATGTAATACTATACTATAAAGATATTAAGAGAGAATAAAGAGAGATACACTTATTTAATAAATATTTACATAAAATTATTTTTAATAACTATATTTTTTTATTGCTTATTGTAGATAAAAAAGAAAATATTGGTCATTTTCTTAAAGTCGAGCATAGATATTAATTAAGCATGTATAGATATTGTCTTTTTTAAAATCATTGAATTATTATATCTTCTATAGGGTTTTTGTCGAAGAAAATAGCAACATTTTTCAAGATTTTCTTGATGGCAGACTCGATTATAGGTCTACCAAACTCAGTTGATACTTCTTTCCAGTTATCATTTAAGAAGATGTGCATTGAATGACCTGTAAAAAAACACAAATCTAATAATTTGGTCTTTCCCAGTGTGGGACAACGTTATCATTGGTTTTCTTATGTAATGAATTAATAGCCTTACATTTCTTTATTTTATGTGGCATTGCTAAACGTACAGGGTAGATATATATAATGGCCTATGCGTCTGTTATAGATATAGTAGTTTATAAAATGAAATACTCACTCAATTCTTTATTTCCGTTAAAGAGGTTTGACATTTCGAAGTGAGCATTACCAAGAACTTCGAATTCAAACTCGTACTTCTTTGGAGCAATACGTTCCTTGCCATCAGTGCCTTTCTTCAACTTATAATATACGAACAGTTTAACGTCAACCTCCTCTAAAAATAAACAATGTTTGAAAGTAGGATATGTCCTACAAACCCCTGGTTAACACTAGTAGTTCAGGACTGAAATAATTTATTAACACAGAACACTCATATACCTTAATTGTATTATCTTTTTTATTTAATTTTATTAAAGTATATATAATTTTGTACACTTTATATAACACTAAATACTTAATATTAAAATATATAGTTAAGTAAACTATATATTTTAATAAATATAATAAAATCATAGATTTTTTGTTTTCTATAACCGAAACAGCTTATAAAATAAGCTGCTTGGTGACTAAAGTAGTTGAGATAGGTGTATACCACGCAAACGTCTTTGTATAAAGGCTATCTCGATAAGGAGCTTTGGATTGTAAAATATAAAATGTAGTGTGACACTGTATACTTACTAAGTTTTAAATCGAAATCACCATCTCCAGAAACAGGTAAGATTAATACTCTGCCACCGGCAGTGTAGTGCCCTTTAAGTGAACTGTTCGAACGGAAATCCATTTCTATAACCTTTTTATCTATATCCCAACTGTAAGTATCAATAAATTTTAGGTATACATCGAGAACTGTCTGATCCGACAGTTATTATGCTGTCTAAATTTAATTTATATTATTTGAGATATAGTAACCAAAATGCTTTGGCAAAACTACCTCGAAAAATTTTAACCAGTTTTCACGAATATTTAAATAACCTAATCAAAAACTATTCCCCGATTATGGGGACGTAAAAATTAAAGGTTATGATTTTGACCGGTATTTATGAATATAATATGTTCATCTATTTCCTCATAACGTTCAAATTTTGTACCTACTTATCAGATTTCCGCAAATTGTTTGCTGATTATAGATAGGTTCTGTGATGTCATTCTAAATTGAACAAATGTATGCCATAGCTAACTATTGTCAGGGTGTGTCGTGTCGTGTTGATAGAGTTACATGAGCTTAAATTATTTTTTTATTTAATTAGAAAGAGAAACAAACACTTATCACTGGTGGTAAGTGGTAACCATCTGCCATTAACATGAATAGCACTGCGTTATCTGGACGACTCAGTTGCGTCCTATACTGCACCCTTTAACCATCCTTGGCGACTAGAATACATAGATAGACAGAGGTACCTACGCAGACATTTTACAAAGTCTACCTCGATGAACGTTCTAGTAATATAGCGTAACAAAATACCAGAACAAAACATTCTGGCGTATATCAACAAAATAAAATTTTCGAGTAGAAAAAATAACTTACTCAACTTTGTAAATTTTTGAATTCTTGAGACCCTTTAATTGGGCATTTTTCAGGCCAAATTGCAGCCCCGATAAATCAAATTCCACATCATCCATGTTCATCACGTCGAGAACTTCTGTACCTAATTCTGGCATACCTTCCATGAAAGTGGCTACACCTTTTTGAAAGGACTTAGTAAGGCATGCTGCATCATTCAGGCGGCATTTCTCAACTGGCAATACTAAAACAGTGACATTAACAAAAAGTGCAAATCTGCTCAAAACTATATTAAAGGCTTATATAGTTTTTTTACGTCAGTACTGGAAGAGATATTGTTGTATAGATTATCATCGGTCGACAGCATAAAAATAATCCCTCCTCAAACAATGTTACATCACACGCACTGCCCTTTATTTATTCTTTGGTTAGTATTCTTAGAAGCCATAACATACATTATTCGGCACCATTTGAGGACATAATTACACAAAGCAGATACTAGTGCTTACTTCAGTAAAAATAAGTTGTTGAAAAATTGTCTCCATTTGGGCTTTAATTTCATTTTATCTAATAGAAATATTGCTGGCGTTTATATTAATTGTATTACTGTATTGTATTTTAGTTCATTTATTTTTATTTGTCTAGACAAAATAGAGAAATTTCATCATTGAATGTATAATAGGTATATGCACGGAAAAGCATTATTACATTATCTCATAACAGATGGTCATATTATCCCATATAAAATTTTCTTTAAATTGTAATTAAATTGCATGGCCCGAAAATGACCTTTCAAATGAAGCAGTTATTGTAGAACTCCATCAGTTAGACAGACTCGATAAAATTCGATAGTAATAACACTTACCAAAACTATGCGTTGAACCAATCAAACATAACGCAAATACAAATAGTTGCAGTGACACTGACATATTACGATATTACCAAGTTGCTTTAACGAAGATAAAATCCTACTGTTTAGCATCGCGGGATTCTTATATTAATATACGTTATACTTAGACCAAGATTTTAAATTACTTAACAATAATTTAGAGCAATTATAAAATTGTACTAACGAGCTGCAAAGTGTTATAATAATAACTGTTAATATATTGCTGGATTTACTATGAATTGTTAGAAATAATGGCTATAAATAAGTAGGTAAAGAAAAGTGTGAATAATAAATGTTGTATTTGTTTTTATATAGAAAAGTTCCCTCTATACCAATTACAGCTTCTGAGCATTTGCAACATAGAAAGGCCACAGTTAAGTACCTAAATCTAAGTGACCAATTAGCACTACATCTATACTTATATTACGAATAGGTTTAGTTGAGAACTTAGTTGAGAATATGGTTGTTCGACACTATCACTCGAGTGTCGTTCGAAGACTATTCACTAATAATTTGATTTTGAAAATTATATTTGCGTCACATAGCAGCTGTAATGAAAAATATAGAAAACAAAATGGGAATAATGTGTTGTAGACGTGGTTGCCTGGGTTGCCTAGTTTGTAATAATAGTTAGCCGAGAAGTGTGGAACGTAACTAATTTACGGCAAAGTTTTACTTTGATTGATTGAATACTTGGATGAAGTGAGACGCAAGGTCTATAAATAGATATACCTAGAATGAACAGTAGAAAAGAAAGAATACCTACACAGTAATTTTATTACGTGCACTTGCTCCTCTTCGGGAGGCCGAGACCTTAGCTCCCTGGAATGAAAATACATGAGGTCAAGTGGCCTCCTGTCCGTAGTGCTGTTCATGAATATTGGCGATGACTGCCTCTCATCATTTTTATGCATTCCAGTAATATAAAAATCACACTTGCTTGACTACACAGATTAATAAGGAAACTATTGTAACTTCAACCTTACTGTGTTCTGTGTCTAGAATTTTAACTGAAGATTAAATAGATACTTAAAAAAAATATCCAACACGTGTTATACAATTAAAATTAATAAGTAGGTACAACAAGTATCTATATTTCATATTTATCTGCTATTTAAAGACATATTTATACTGAGAGTATATAATTTTTGTCATGTAAATGTATATTTTGTGGCCCATGTATGTACATATTTACGACCCACCTCTCGCACCTATTATACTAATTCTGCTCACTATAGATTAAAAATTTTGTTTACAAAGAAATTTACCTACACATTAGATCAGATTTTGATTAATAAAGTTAATACCAGAATCGAATTGCAGAAGATATGACAAAAAATAATACAGCTGAATAAAATGGTAAGTATTGATAATTGCAAGTTAAATAAACCGTTGTTTAAAGTTGACTGACGCCTGCAATATTAATGAATTTTAACTAATGGTAAATAGAATGTTAGAATATATCAGGCATTAAATTAAAAAAATATACAAGGAGATTCCATTAGGTAAGTAATAATACATAACAATACATTTTTTTTCCAATTATTAATATTTTATTGTCAGATAACTTGTATAAGAACATTTTAATGCAATATTAAAATTACATCGTTGTGATTTATCCCCCATACCCATATGTATTTTTAAAAGTACTTACTGAAAAATACAAATATATACTTAGTCAATACAATACGTTTTCAAAAAAGAATTGTAGAATACTAAATATATTGTTAAAACATTTAATAACAAATTCGTTAAATTTGTCTATTTTCTACTAAGATTCTTGTGATAAGATGTACAAATTTATTAGTGTCCATAATATATTAATTTTCGGTTTGGTATACCCATTAGGACTTACATATTTGGTAAAAGACTTTACTTATGTATTAATAATACAAAATATTATAAAATAGAAATTTCAGTAACAATGTACCAATTACATAAAATTAATGTTATACCTTCATATTCAGATTCAGTCTTTAGTAGTAGCTGTCTATATCTATATTATTTTAACCTAAAATACTACAATGGTATAAAATTATATTCAACTTAAAATAGTACGAACAATGTAATGAAACATTATTTTTTTATCACAGCTCCACTATCTCTTCCAGCGGATGAGTCCTAAAATAGGATTTAATGACGTTAAATATTTTAGCGTTTGGTTTATCAAGCATAGGTGTCCCAAATTCCTGCGCTAGAATTTTCCAGTTTTCATTCATGAATTTGTGCATTGTGTCGCCTGAAAAGAGAATAATATATTTATTTAGTGTATATTTATATCATAAAATTTCTTTTTTATTTGAAGACTTAAACCACTGAATTAGGTTATAAAGATTATCAATTATCTGTGTATATTTATTGCCAAATTTAAGTTAAAAATATATAATGCTCTCATTCTCCTTAAATTGTTCTCTTCAATTCAAATACATATCTTTATTCATTTATGTTAATTATATACAATTATCGAGACAAAATCAAGACAAAATATTAGTTCTCAATGTCTACTACATTGAGAACTAATATTTTGTCAAGACAAAAACATTTTATCAAGCCAAGAAAAACTAACCAGAAACTCAGCTGTCTATCTTTTCATTCAGATTGTACTAACAATATATACTAAAGCTTAAGCTTAAATTCGATATTACGATATTCAATATAAATTATTCCGGAATCATTTTAATCCCCGAAAATTTCTTCAGTCAATTCTGTTACATCATCAAATCAAATAAACTAAGAACAGTAAACACATTCAAATCTTACTTACTCAGCTGTTTGTTTCCGTTGAATAAATTAGTTAGATGAAAATTCGCGTTGGTTTTTACGTCGTATTTGTATTTGTAACTCTTGAGGTCAATAAAGTCCTTGCCTTCCGAATTCTTTTTTACTTCAAATGGCATTGTCATTTCTATGAGAAGATTTTCTGAAAACATAAATAGTTATAATCTACACTTATAAAATCATTTGTCCTGACTAACTACCAACGTACAGTCAAAACTTGAAATATCGTATTTAGGATTTTTTATATTACAACTTGATGTAAAAGTAAATGACACAATATTGAAATAATGGTTTCATTAAGATTAGATAATGGAACTCGTAATTTAGATAAGTTATTTTTAAAGAAATCGGAATTCGATTCTAATTAGCATGTGAAAAAAGTGTTTTCAAAAAATCCAGTACATTTAGTGACTACGTTTAATAGACCTTTGGTCATGCATATAAAGTATCTGTTAATGGGTGTGAGGATTGTGCAACTGAGGCGGTCTAAAAAGGATTGAGAAGGTCTCTTCAGGGTCATCTAAGCACTGGCTATATCCCTACTATCATTAGAAGGCTAGTAATAAATTCGTCCATCGATTATAAATACATTCCTAATAAAGACACGTATAAGACAAAGAGATGCAGCTGTCTCGTTCTATACCATGCATACCGTGGTCTTTAGGTGTTCTTAGATTACCCTGACATTTTGTTATCAGGCGGATTTTCTGTATATTTACCACTTTATGCTTAAACTTCAATCCTGCTAGTGAAATATATTTCAATTCGATAAATAATTCATACTTCATAATATACATACTTAATTTTATTGTAGTCTGTCCATCGCCACTTATAGGTAAAATAAGAAGCCTTCCTGATGCTTTGTAAAGTCCATTCATTACGATATCCGAATGGAATATAAGTGTCATTTGCTTCTTAGCCAAGTCGATGCTGAATATAATAATAAAAGCAGATTAGACATCGAATGATTGATCATTTAAATGAGCGTACCAAGTACCAAGAGTAAAGTTTCATAAAAATCGGCTGATTTTTATATGATGCCCGGGCAATGTCAAAATATGCTGCACATATTAATATACGTCTACATTTGGAGACATATATGATATTACGTTCGTTAGAGGAATTTGCGTAATAAATCAAATTCTGTTAGTTACGAGTACGAATATAGTATAATCAGTGACATCAATTTCGAACCTGTGATTTTTTTGTGAAATATTTCAATTGAAAGAGAGAATAAAATAATGTTGTTCTGAATGGAATCCAGTTACTCTAATTACTCCTTTTTTTCTACTAATCTTACACATATGAAAGACTGTACAGTGATTTGGATGTTCTCTCATTTTCATTTAAATTTACTTAGATATTACACTAAACAATACTAATTAAGTAAAGCTACAAAGAACAAAATTTAATAGAACAACATTTAAAAAAAATCCTTAATCATAAAATACCATGATAAATAACATAGACATAAGAAGTAGGTACGTAAGGTATACTATCACCTCATTACAAGTCGTGATTTGCCAAACTTTTGGATCCGAACCCATGGGATGAGAAAATAAATGAAGCAAATATTTGTGTTACTCAAAGAAAGTCCCATAATATAGGCAACGTTTTGTTTTTAAAATTATACGATTTATAATATTTCTTATAAAATAGTTACTTCATAATTTTGATACAATTATTTATAATAAAAAAGTAGGTTTGTTCAAATAGTAGTAACTTTGTAGGAAGTACTAGGTCGTAGGCTAGTAGGTAAGCTCTTATTATCCTTAAAATAAAATTGAGATTTTATAACAGAGAATAATGTAAGATATGTACACTAATATTATAAATTCGAAAGTATATTAATCTTCGTTAGTTACCTTTTTACGACTAAACGACTGAACCGCTTTTAATTAAATTTAACATGAAAGTAAACGAAATATAAGAACGGACTTATATAATATATGTATTTTATCTAAAAAAATCACTGGATTACGGGTACCAGCCAGAAATAAATCTGTAAGGAACTAATACAAAACAAAATCTAGTTCTAAATAAAATTACTATGGACTAATAAATTGAAATTGGCTCCAATTTCAAAGCAATTATCTCTTATTTTTGAAGTCAGGAATATTCGAATAACGACACCATATATTAGCTAAATCTGGTTTGGCTTTTATAATGAAGTAGGTAATTATTATATAAGGTATATAGCGGGACAGTTAGGGTAACCAGCTGACCTCAGCTTATCGATGACTGCCCTCTTGAGTCCTTTTATGTGCGCATCCTTAATACCCAACTTGAGTCCCGCAAGGTCCACTTTAATTGTATCTATATCCATTATATCTAATGGTTCCATATTCATTTCCGGTACGCCGGCTGCCATTGCCGGAATTACAGACTGTGCAGATGTCTTCAAACATGCGGAATCCGATATTTTACATTTTTGTATCGGCGGAACTGCAACATAATATTCATTTGTTATTATTAACTAAAATGAATAAAAATGTAAACAACACTAATTTATATGTTTGTAAATTAGGAAAATAATGACACAACTAATCAGAAAAAAATATTAAACGTGAATATTGATTATATCACGACAGGCTATCTTGTATATAAAAAAATAGACGAAGTCGAGAATAACATCTTCATATACAAAAATATATATTTTTAGAGATTTACCATGATACCACTGTATAGACTACATGGTAAGCATAAAGCAGTTTCTAAGACTTCTACTATAAGAAATTTTAATTTCAGAACCTCTTCTTTCAAATTGGTCGAACATAAAATGAATACAATTTAGAAAATACGACTTTCTAAGGTTACATATACATAAATTAAGTTTAATTCTAAAACAAATAATAGTCCACTATTGTAACTGCCTACGTTTGAGACCTCGTTAGTCACTAAAGAGATTACAAGATTGGAATAGAAATTACGTCCTTAGAACCAGTAATTATTGCGGATGAGATAATCAACTTAATAAGTCATTAGATGTGTTGAAAATAATGAAAACAGACTAATTGCTGATTTTTTACTTTCTATTAAATATATTGAATAAAGAATAATATTATTAAGAAAAGGTACATTCTTGAAATGTATTTAAATTTATTTTTGGAATTTATAAAGATGTATTCTCACAGTAGGTAATAAGTGACATACCTAACTGCTATCTCAACGGATTAATGTTAGGAAATAAATTTAAATATCTGTAGAAAATATCTAAATTTATATATAATCGACTATATATAGGATAGGTAGGTAATAACTGCGTTGTTTAACGTAATATCTTATATACAACATATTTTTTTGATGTACTAATAATTTATGATAGTATCTTCAAAATACAAATCAATCAAACTCAAATCATTTATTTAAGTAGGATAGTTTAGCCACTTACAATAGTACGACTATTTTATTTTATTTTTATAACGCTAAGGTACAAAAACGTATAAGAATTAATTTAGGAATTATTAAAAAAATAGACGTATTTGTTTTTATATACTAAGTAGGTATATCTATATTGTTTTATTGACTCTCTTTTCTATTGCAACATGATAGAACTTATCTATCTTATCTTATTAGTATTCCGTGCAATTTATGAAGTATTTAATTAAGTGAAAAAATCATTTGGTATTGATAATTGTCCATACATTGTAGTGGCACAATGTATCGACAATTACCAATACAATGCAGTGGCAAACACTAGACCACTTTTTATCAGTCCAGTCTAGAATCACTTAATTACAGTTAATTGAAATAATCAAGTAAAACAATCAATTCACACTACAATGTATGTGTGACATGTAATTCTTCATTGTAGGTATGTCAGGTGACAAGATTGTACCTATTAATTAAATTGAAGCCTTTTCGAATATTTTAAGTAATTTTTAATTACTTAAGTAGTAAGTTTAAAATATTTATAATCACAGACTTATAAACCTACTACTTTACATTGAAATTTTTATAATACTTCCTAGGTATACACAATTTGAATAATATTTCTGGAATATTAACATACATATAACCACACATAATATAATATTATATAGTATAACTATTTAATTTCTTGTATAGAATGCACAGAAAATATTTGCGCGGGTGACTTTCAAATGAAAAATATTTTATTTTTACCAATCCGTATGTACTAAATAAACTTAATTTTTTTAATTAGTAGGTAGTATCCTTATTATTAAAACTATTGTACACCCCTTAACATTTTAAATATAAATATTTTGCACGTACCTATATAAAGTACTTATTGAAATTATTTAGGAAAAACGAATGAACATATTAGTTCTACTGTAACCATATGTATTTGCACATAATAAATCAAAGTATAAGGCATAATTTAAAGATTTATGACCAAAGAACTTTTATACCATTTTGATTACAATGAAACTAAATACTATTTTAATGAATATCCAATTACTTTCTATCTTAATGAATAATATTTACTTGATTTTATCTATAATTATATTTATTGTATATTTAGTTGGTAATTTATTAGAAAGTACTGTGATAATTCAGTTTATGATATTGAGATGAAATAAAGATGAAGGTATAGTATCTATTATTAAAAAAACGATCCATTACATAGCTTCATAAGTTTCAGTAGCTGTCTAGTTATGTACTTCAGAACTGAAATATGTGTTTTCTTTGCAGGTATCTGTTACTATGATTTTTAATAAAGATTTTACATCTACAAATAATATACTACCATGTTTGATCTCTGTTATCGTTAATTAAAGAACATATAAATATTAATTAAAATAAACTTACGTTCCGCAAAAATGATTCCTATTTTTATAACAAATATGAAACTTGATAATAGAACACTCATTTTTCACACTGTTATTCGGGTGACCGACCCAATCGAAAGCTCATTCACTAGTCCGTCGGCCTCTTTACCGCACTCATATATAAACAGTTGCATTAACATTGTACGGAGTCAAGGCCGATAATACGTTGTAGTACCGTAACTAATTTAGACTACCTATTATTTATGGGATATAGTCACATATAACATATTATATTAATGGGCCTTAAATGATGTAATGAGCAAATGTCAACTTAAATAAATTACGAATAAATTACTATCATCATTACTTTAACAATAACAGTGATTATAATAATATAATTATAATAGTGACTTAACTACTAATTGATTTTATCTGAATTCCTTTAAGTAACGAACTATAAAAGTTGACAATTTTTTTTTCATAATAATTGAATTGCGGTTCTTGTTGCGGCAAAGGAATATACTGGCGAAGAACTAATCAAGGATGACAGGTAAGTTTACCTAGGCATACTTTGTACATAGTTGCCCAAGTAGATACCTCTGTTTCTATTTATATAGTCAATTAACTTTGTTTATCACCTGTACCTATGTTGTATTCATAGTTTAAAAAACGTAAACGCACAGAATCATGACATCTTTATCTTTAGGAATGACAACTCATGAGAAATACCACTTGTATCACGAATGATATTAATGTTGCTGTTCAAATAGTGATGATCGTTGCCACTTTTCGGCTATTCACTTTAGCTGACGTCAGCTTCTTCCTGTTTCAGTTTGTTAGTAACTTATAAGGGTTATAGTCTCCTGTGAGTAAGAGTATGTCAATGTGGACAAAGGTATATAGTACTTGTACAAGTAGATTATAGGTACAAGACAAGTGGTTTCTTCAAACAAGTTTATATGCGTCCTCGATATCCTTTTAGACGTATTGAGTTTATAACGACTATGGTAAATAACTCTACCTACGAGTATGTATTTATCCAATACTGGATCTAATGAAACATAACATTTTATTATTAAATAAAATAATTTAAATAATTAATAATAAAGAAGGAAAAAAGCCAGGTAAATTTAATTACATTTATTAAATGTAATCGAGGAAAGGGTCCCTGCCCCAAAGGTCGTGACATTAGGGGCAATTTAATTTATTTTTACCTAACAAATGGTCGTGGTAAATAATGTTTTACACGTGTTTTTAAGCCAGCTACTTGTAGTCTAGAAGACTTGAAATTGATAGTCACGTAAATATTATTTGGTTTCATATAAGAAATAACTATGTCAAAATAGAAGATTGGTCGGTTAAGGTTAATCTGACTGATTAATTATATGTTCATGTATATTGTAAGTCAAATTTATATAACACCAAAGTTTTATCACCATCAGATACGTAATTTTGGATTATATAAAGGGGCATACATTTTTTTTACCAGAAATATTGTAAACCCGTGTTCTCAGCATAGAGTACATCTTACAATTTTTTCTGGTTACCAAGCAAATTAAATAATTGATATGCACAGACATATACAAATAAAATATACAAACATATTTATACAGATGATAATTTGGTACTAATATGTACCTACATGTTGTACCTGTCAGATATTAATTCTTGATTTTTTAAATATTAATCATAACACAATTAATAATTACCATATTTATCATAGGCAATTAACACCATTCTATTATAGACATGAATAATTGCGTACTACAGATGAAAGTATGGAGGAGGTAATTATACCGCGGCGACCCCAAATAAGGGGACAAGGGCAAGGTCACGACGAATATAATTGCTGTTGCTTTAATTATTCACTATATATCAAATTAAATAATATAATTAAACCTTTAAAATATGTTATATGTGCATACATTATATTTAGTGTGATATAATTATTATTAGTGTATTGGATACTCAACGGCTCAACGGGTCTTATGGAATTTTTTATTCTCTATACTCCTACCATAAAAGGAGATTTATGAATAAATTACTTTGTCCGTTTTTCGTGTAAAAGTAGTCCATGTTGTTCTCTGCGATATGTCTCAATCTCTCTTCACGTCAAATTAATATCCTTTTAGGATTTTAAACGTGAAAAAGTAAAAAACATACAGACATACATTCGGCATTATCCGCATTTTTATTACGATGAATTTAATTTTATGTTTACGGAAAACACAAATCATTATTAACAGTAAAGTTACAGTTTCATTAATTACACGTATTTAAATACACTTAATTCAAAACCGGTAGCAATATTAAAAATAGCCACGAAATAATCAGTTGGCCAATGTTTATCCATTATTGTGGGGTCCGCTCGATTATGCGACCAAAAATTGTGCGTTGCATTTCTAAAGGCAACTAGACGAGACTGGTTTCTGCGATATTTCGCCGGTTTATCTACATGTCAAGGTCCACCGGAATGCTGAGATTATGATCACATGTGTATTGCAAGAAATGGTTGAAATATTCCATGTGTTTATACTTACACTGATTTTGCAATGAAATCGTCTGTGGCCTTCCGCTTCGCCGTTGCACTATACCAACAGACGGCGACTTTCCTCTGGCCATAGTTATCGGTACCTTTACGACATTGCATATAGACGTGACCATGAAGAGACAATATGAGACAACTAATTAGGTACTCTGTTACAACCATATTCTACTACTAGATAATTTATCAATATTTAAACCGGTAAGAGACGAGGAGAGGAAGGGCTGTTTGTGGGTACATAGTATGAGTTCCTACGCATGTGAGGCATTGCGGCCTAATTCGTAACAATGAACGAAGTCAGTTCATCCTCCACGCTGCTCCTTGTTCCATTCGGGAACCATAGTGGTTCATTGCATTGAATGTGCCATGATAGGATAACTAAACTAAAGAAATTATATACATAAAATAATTTTAAATTTTTTTTCCATACTATTCATATAGTCATAACACTAGAACATTAACTTAATATACCCTAATTACTGTCATATAAAGATAGATTAAATAATAATTATTATTAAAAAATTAAACACATCTTTAAATTAAAAAAAATGTTTAAAGGAACTTACGTGAATGTTTATTTCAAATTTCAAATTTCGAACTCAATTTTTTTGGGCTGTTGATAGGTATATGTGTAGGCTATTTACAAATTTGTACATAATTTAGAGCGACAAAGTTTCTTTAATAATAATCGTATTTGTTTTATTTCATACTTAAAAAATAGCTACTTGTTTACAATTATGTACTGCGTATGTAATTTATGTAATGAACTATTTATTTCTTCCGTATTACGGTTTCCGGAAGAAAACAAATTCAGAAAAACAACGCATATGATTGAAGGCCCTATACAGGTCATTGATCCTTATTTAATTTACTGCAGTAGGCAGTAACAAATGAAATAAAAAATAACGCATTACCTTGTATCTACTTGCTACGGATACTATAGTGTCTAATAAACAGGTATATTTCTGGCTGACTCACATTTCTCACATTTACATATAAAACATTATCGCAATTTTACATAGATATCTATAATTCCTGGATTAGGAAAAACAAACTCAAAACCGAGCGTATCTAAAAGTTTCATCGCGTAGAAAATTAAATTTCTTTCCACAAAGCATTAGGCGCGATTCTTTCCAATCTTGGCATAATCGGAATTTCATTTCGGTTTCTACTCGCGACTTCTGCTTCATCTCGTTTCTATGCAAATTAACGCAAAACGCTTGACGACTGAATTATTTAATCGAACATCGAGAAGCTATCTGAATGTCTAAGTGTTACTTTATTAGTCGTGCTCCAGAGGAAAAAAGAATTGGATTTTATATCTTGTCCCTCAACAAAGAAATTTTAATTTTAGCAAATTAGTATCTGGTTCAATACTAGGGTAATTCAGCTATCGACCTTTTTTAAAAATAAAGTCTGGTTTCCGATTTGCTCCGTGACATTGCATTATTTAATTTGCACCTAATGGTGGCGATTAGATAGTAAAAATAATACTTGATATTTAAATACTTATACATCAATATTATTTGAAAAAAGAATACCACTCGGATATTATTCGTTTTAACATCACTAATTAAAACATTAAAATAAAATGTAATGTAAGGCTATAATGCTTATAATGTAAAACCGTTGGATGAAACAAATGTTTGTCACTTAAGAGTTAATGTTGTATCTAACATTAACGTTTGAATAGACTACAGAAACTCTATGTACCTATATGTATATTTATATTGGGCCCAATACATAATCACACTACATTATATTCCTCCATCTCAATTAGTTGTAAATGTAATTACGAGTAGCCAATATTTTAATTTCCTAGGCAAATGCTATCATTTCCTTTGCCTTAATAAAGACTCGATTGGGACAGGAATTACGCTGATCGAAACTCAAATGATTTTGTATAAATAGATGAGTAGTGGCCGTCAGGCTTGCGTCATTTCGAACAAAATAATCACTCAGCAAATAACCACTACCTTGACTGCTATCGTTTTGAAAATAACGTTTGTATGAAACTATCCAACTAATGTTTTTAGCACGACATATTTACAAACAATTTGTTTGCATAGATTCATTCTGAAGGTTTCGCTGGTATCTCGAAGCCCGCTTTACTTTGACTAACTGAATTGTTTTTTGTATAATCTGTAATGGTACGTATTAAAAGGTACATTTTTTTAGAATCATTGAAATGTACACCACATTTGACACTAAAATCAGAGACAATATAGAGTACAGGTGGTTCGCATAAATTCGGTTCCGTGAGCACAGTATGCTAGGCATATAGGTATCTGATGCGATTCCCAGCACTTTTTGGTTATTATCCCTGATTCGAATGTCGTGTATTTAATACCTATATCAAATGTTTATTGTAACAATGGTACCAAAAATATTTATTGTTTAGAAGCTATGTTGTGCTCAACTTTATAAAATGTAGCGTTGATTTTTTATTGTTACATTTATTAATAGAAAATATTACATAGGTAGATATATAAATTTCTTAATATTTTGCAGTGTGGACTCATTGCCCCTTCTGAGTTGTAGACGTTTTGTCGCGATTAATACCATTTTCATGTTATTAAAACAAGAATATGTATTTT